GGTCTAGGTAGACAAACAAGCTTCAACTTTAGCAGCATAGTGCTTAACAATGGAAACAACATAATCTGCATTTAAAAGGTGTGCACAAAAAGTAGATGGAGATACATTACCATTCCCATGGCTCCATCAGGTATCATAGCTCCAGGACCAGTTGCAGGAGGTGCAGCAGCTGGGACATTGGTGCCACCCATAGCTCCTCTATTGTTCATGCCAATGGTACCTGGAAAAGAAAACTGAAGAATAGTCCTCCAGACACAGTGACTGGGCTCTACTCATCACTCCAGAGTCACAAACACTGTGTAAGCTCCCCGCAGTGTATATTCAGGGACAGAGTCCTAGTCTATTAACTAGCTTTGCACTATTAGGTCAAGACAAACTGATCTTGCATTCCAGTATTACTTGAAAGTACAGCAGGCTCTAACACTCACCACCCTCATTAACCACTAAGCCCCCATCACCTTTTCACTTGCTCTTGTACTTGTGGCCTGAAACTCTAAATCATGTAGTCAAAATATGGAAATACAGTAATCAAGGTTATTTCCTGGGCTCAAGGTCTAGCACTACATGTTGTACCAGTTTCTGTATCAGTACAAACTTCTGAAGCACACTATGGGTCTGATGGCAACTTCAACCAAGTCTTTTGCTTACTGAACTGAGTTTTTCACAAACGGACAGTACTGCCTCATACCCAAATTTTGTTATGTTTCCTCTCACATGAACACTTCCTGTCACTGAACTGGGAGAAGATTATTATGACTGAGTTTCTAAATAAGAAGCCAATAAAATAAGACTACTCAAAAAATGTACAGATTTTGTAAAGGAGGAAAGGAACATGCATAGGAACAAAGATGGCCACAGAATACTCTTACCTCCCATACCCATCTGTCCCATTCGCATGTCTGGTGGCTCCCTCTGAAAAAAGAGACACCCATTTCAAATGATAAAAATTCAGGATTTTTAAGAATGTAATTATACAAATTCAATGAGTTCTGGAGTTTTACTACTGAAAACTGTAGAAAAGTCATTCCCATGGTAAATTTCAAAAGAAGATCTGAGCTACCTTCACACAATTAACTGCTGAACAAACAGGTCTTATTTAAAATATCTCATTCTGAAAGACTTTTTCACAATCATGGTAAAACATCCAGCAGCAAAGCTGCGTGTTCAGATTTTACCAAACAACAGCATAAAGAGATACCTGATATCTGGATGGAAAGATCTGCTGAGCAGCAGTAACACATTAGATAGAATTAGTTTTGCTACTTCCTCAGCATAGCTAAGAAGCTTTTCCTGTTGAAAGGAATGCAAGCTTACATAAAGATGCAGCAATGGGTCACTTGCATTAAAATACCAGTTAGTGATTTCAATTTCTCTTTCATTAACCGAGCATAGGGGACACACCACAGATCTCCCTCACTGCAAAGCTAGGAGCAGCTCCTGACTTCAGAGAGGGTACTACTTTTTCCCACAGTGGGAACTGAAGAACAGATTTCACTTCATCTGTACTCTCAGTGCCACCATTTATCATACAAAGGCACTATTATTTAGAGAAATCATGAGTTCTGCTATGCAGGGTACTATTCACACATTTAGATCAGTCACACGGTTTTGGCCCTTTTGATTTGACATGTATTTAGCTATTTTGCTTAGGGGCCAATTTTTCACTAGGATACATTGCCACCCAGTTGCATCGATGCCATTATACCATCTCAACAGCACTACAGCTGCCTCCATAATAGAAAGTTGCTGGGACTGGAAATGAATTGTAAAACAGTTCTTTTAACTAGAGATGCTGCTATTACAAGGCAGGTTACCACACATTTTACATTACAAAAAAATACTTGACCAACTGACTTTTAAGTACAAGCAATTATCATGCCTGCAGCAGTGCCTCAAGTTGGGATTATTTCATCTAAGCATGACTAAGACAGACTGCAGGCTACGGAGATAGCCAGGCATATGACTATAACGGGGTTCTGCAGCAGTACTTCAGGAGAGTACATCTTTCTTACTGTTAGAATAAAATTAGTTAGCATAATTCTTCTGTACAGCAAGACAGCTAGTGAGGGTCCTACATGAAACAGCAGTGGGACAGTAACTGGGGTATTTATATTTTCCAGACTAAACTCTATTAAGATTAGAGGGAGTCAATAATTTAGGGCAGAATGCACTAAATATGTAGAGTCTCTCAACCAACAAGTTAAGCATTCACAGAAAGCCCCATGCTGTGGAAGGGCAAAAATCTAATGTCAGTGTCCAGATGGGAATGGGAAGGTAGAAGCACTCATACCGCATCAGCAAAATTCCCTTTAAATCCTTCCTGCTGGCGTCTCATCATCTCTTCTTGCTGCCTTCTCATTTCCTCCTCACGGCGCCTGCGTTCTTCCTCTTGCCTGCAAAAAAAAACGTACACCATTTGCATCACAGTATTGCAGTGTTGCCTAATGGGTCTTGTTTGGAAACCTACAACTTTCAGAACATTATTTTGCTGAGGCTGCAAAGTATTAGGTGCCTCATGATGAAAACAGAAACATGTATGCGCACCAAGACATTTCCAACACTTTCAATTTTAAGGAGTTCATTATAAAACCGAACGTGAGAACACCCATGTGTGTGTCTCATGAGGAGCAGCTAAGGGAACTAAGGTTGTTTAGCCTGGAGAAAAGGAGGCTGAGGGGAGACCTTATCCCTCTCTACAACTACCTGAAAGGAGGTTGTAGCGAGGTGGATGTTGGTCTCTTCTCCCAAGTAACAAGTGATAGGACGAGAGGAAACAGCCTCAAGTTGCACCAGAGGTCTAAATTGGGTATTACGGTATTTCCTCACTGAAAGGGTTATCAAGCACTGTAACAGGCTGCCCAGGGAAGTGGTTGAGTCACCATCCCTGGAGGTATTTAAAAGACATGTAGATGTAGTGCTTAGGGACATGGTTTAGTTGTGGACTTGGCAGTGTACATTTACGGTTGGACTCGATGATCTTAAAGGTCTTTTCCAACCTAAATGATTCTATTATTCTATGTACACAGCAGCTCCCAAATACATGCTGACTACATGCAATATAATGCATACAAGCCAGACAGTTCTCAAGCCCCTTCATCACAGAAGTAGTCTGGAGATCTTCCTGGAGCTTCTCAAAATGACCCTGAGACAAGGAAGAGCTGGAATGAAGAGAGAAATCTCTGAGACTAAGTTATGTCTCAAACAATAAGACAGATGCTAGAATGGGGTTTCCCAACCTGCAGCACCTGAAGCCAAAATCACTGCACAGATTCTGATTTTTCTATCTGCCTCGGTCAAGGAGCTAAACTGAGACATAAAACTGTAAAAAAACCAAGTACTAATCAGTGGAAGAAACTGCTAACTTCCATCTTAAACCAACACTTTCCCTATAAACAAAAAGGCCCAGAATAAAAGCCACACTTCAGGTAGTAATTAAATTGTCACACTGAACAATTAGGTGCGCTGAATAAGCCTTTCATTCCATAATATAATGGATTCACAGCATTTCATAACCTACCCCCCTACCTGAGTTCCAACTGTTTACGTTTTTGTACTTCTTGATTATGCAATTCCTCCATTCTCCTCAGCTCTTCCTGGCGTCTCATTAAATCTGTAAAAGATGACAGTAAAAAACCCAATCGAACTCATCTCCCATGCCACCTCTTATAAATTCCTGAACTAGAACCTTAACACACAAGAGAATAAGGTAACAGAGCCTCCAGCAATACAGTAACATCTCTCCATTCATTTGCTGCTACCATGCTTGGTTACAAGTCAAGCAGCTACACCACAGCTCACTTTCAGTGGGCTCTAGCCAGTCTACTGAGCTACCCACCCCTGGATGTTGCAGGGCCATATTCTGATACAGTATTTATCTTTGATTGGTACCTTGCCGCATGAGCATAACTTGGTGCTCATGGCGAGCTGCTTCCATTTCCATTTCCAGCTTCTCTCGAGCTTCCTTGATGTTGCGGTCTACTTGTTCTTGCTGCTGCTTCTCCATCTCTATTAGAGCCTTCCAACGCATGGCGTATTCGTACTCAAAGCTGCCAGGTTGTGCAAATCGAGGAGGCTGCTCACGCTCCCTGCCAAACAAGGAAGAGCCAGTGAATGCTTCAACAAAGCAAGGAGGAACCAAGAAAAATACATTTGTATGTTAAATGCAATGGCAGATCCTTTTAACAGTTAGAAATGCATTTCTTAGTGCAACAAATACGGAACCACTTTGTCTTCTATTTTCTCACAAATAGCTATGCCTGAGATACCAACTTGTCTGCTCCTCAGGAATCATCTTAGTGAAAGGAGAAACTTGGGCAGAATCCTCCTGCAGGATTAATTATACATGGAAACTGCGTCCTGTCCTCCTCCATAACAAGCAATGACACTGCTTTCGTAAGACACAAAAAGATTCTGGGTATCTAGAAACACTCTTGAAAGAAACAGCCTTTGCTCCTGCTGCACATCTTATGGACAGATCCACTCCAGAAACAAACAATGCCCAAATGTGTGTGTTTATTTCACTAATCTCTGCAGCCCCTGCACCTGGAACACATGACTATTCCTAATGCAGCCTCCCATCTCCTGAAGCTCTCATCTTCCTTACTTGAAAAATTCATGAGCTCACGGAGTCTACTAATTCCCACCGCTCAGATCACATGATACCTACTTACACTGGGAAGCCTTCAAAGAGCATGGCCTTATACCTGGATAGCTCTACAATCTCCCAATGCTATTCACATAATTCCCTAAATTTTCACAGTGGATTCAAATCTGTTTCCTCTACAGACTTTCCGTAATACTTAGAGCAAGTAACTTAAGTCTTTGCTTCAGCTTCTCATCTGAGCAAGGGGATCTCACATTATCTCAAACTGACAGGGTTTTTTATTCCAGCAACTGAAACGGACTTATGAAAAATATGTGGAGGCTACCAGTCTTATCCAGCACTGTGGATACAAAACCACTACTTTGTTTCAGCTAACCATGGCAAGAGAACAGTGTATGAAATTCTCTTTCCAGAATCAGGTCACATTTACAGAAAAAAGGAGGACCTTTAGTAGCACTGATGAGCCACCCTCCTAGAACTGAGGCACTAGTCAATGTCCTAGTCCACAGGTAGTCTCATCTCCTGTCGCACGGCAGTCACATACTTGTGATATTGCTGGTTTTTAATGACTAGTTTCTCTGGTAGTCCCTCTTCATCATCATACTGATCCATGGGCTCCACAGTGACAGGCCGAGGGAATCTATAAAGAAAAGATGAGGTGCTTTCAAGAAAATTCAAGAATGAGCTTGCAGTGCAGGAAAACATGTATTCTGTATCTGAACTTATAAAATCTGAACTTAAAAACTTATAAAACTGCTTTTAGCAGTGCTCAAAGAAATTCAGAGCAGTTGGGGATCTCAACCAAAGTGGAACCAGAAATCACTTTGAACACTTTTTTTCTTTTTTTCTAGAATAGGAGCTGAACTGTTAATCAAAATCCTTGTTGAATCCAAACCAAAATTGTACTGAAAGAAGAATACTTGCAGTTACTGGTTCAAATTAACAGCTTAAGTGGAACCTGACATCCTCCAGTAGGATCTACTCAGCATCAAGTAGTCCCTAGAGTCTGGTTTTTCTCTGGTTTTTCTTGTAGTCCCTAGAGTCTGTTTTTTCTCCCTTTCCTCCCTTGCTACATGGCCAACCATGGGCTGCACAAGTCCTTGTGTGCCTTTTTATAGCTGCCTAAAGCGAAGAGTAACTACACTGCTCCTCACTGGAGGTTGCTGGCTGTACCATTCAGTCATACTTTCCTGGTAAGACCCCACATGCCATTATTGCCCAGCAGCAGTGCTCTGTAAGTGCCTGTTGGACCCTGTCTGATTTCTCCCTCAAGAAATCCACTGGTGCACTTCACAACACAGACACTGCACATGTGTACTTCTGTCCTCCGGTTTCTGTGTGCAGGAGAAAGTATTTAACAGAAGTGTCCCCAATCTCCGAACTAGCTCCCCACCACAGCACTGACACTGCTCATCCTCAGCACAAAGCAGCACCGCAGCTCCTCGTTAGCTCCTCAACCCCATTTGCCAGAGCTGGGGAAATGGAAGAGAAATGATCACGCTATGCCAAGTGGCAAGCAGTGCACAGACTCCAGCAGGAAGGCAGGAAATGAGAGGTTAAAATCTCTCTCCTCAGCTGAAGATCCACAATATGGCTTTTCACTTCAGTGTGACATATTCTGTTATTAATAGTCTTACTTTCCAGTGTGAACCAATTCCAAACAGTTTATCTAGCTGTTACTGTCATGAACTAGGACAAACCAGAACAAATTTAATCAAAACCAAACCATAACTAGAAATAAGCAACATAGCGGTTTGCTGCCCTAAATATCAGAATCTAATACACTGATAGCTACAAAAAGATCGAATGTTACCCTCAGGTGCTCTCAGTTATACACTGGTAATGATCACTTTTAAAAATTTGTTTTCATGGTTTTTTCAGGATATAGACTTCTGAATCAGCAAAAGCTCCCTAACAGCAATCCTCCTGCAGAGCACTACACACTATGTTGGTTATCCCCAAAGAGTCTCAGGAAGAAAAACAGATTAAAAAAAGAAAAAAACAAAAAAACCACCTGCTTTTTGAAACTGAATGTGCTTGTGTACAGCTGTGCCATATGCAGGCCTCCAAGAAAAAGGAGAGAAGTGAGAAGCACAAAGCTTAAAAAATTACTGTAGAAATTTGCAATATAGCCAATTTCAGGCAGTATTCTATTCACAAATTCTAGATGCATATATACAAAATATACAGTAATTTTTATTTCCAAGAGATCAAAAACGGCTCCCTCTTAACAGTTAGAGCAACAAGCCGTGCTCTGTGGAACGCATATAGAATTAGTCATTTACTTAAGCAAGTTCACATAATTATGCAAGAACGTGCTTTGTTTCCTGATGATATTCAAGCACAAGGAAAACAGTTTATTATGGTGAAAACTCCAAACAATCCAATCTATTTGACCAGATTCTCCGACAGATCCCATGCCCAAAGTGGTGGATCAGCATTCGACCCCAGCAGTGCATGCTACTGAGTGGAGTCCCATCCCAAGACTCGCCTCTGAAGCGACCCAGAGGGCACAATTAATACACTTGAGCTTCGTTTCCAACAAATGATATGGATGGTCTCTGAAATAGCTCCTGCTTCTTAAAGGCTGCTTTAATTGCCCTAAGAAGGCTTTATCGAGAAAGAGCTTATTGGGAAGCTCTTATTATATATGCACTTACCCACTTACCCCACTAGCAGCTTCCCAGAAGAAAGTTTTCAGACCTGAGTTTCAGCACAGATTCGCTCTTGTTGGAACAAAGCTATGTAAAGTTCTCCCCAGGCAAATCACCTACCACCTCCTGCCCCATATCTCATCTGTCCTGCTCTGGTGTTAAGAAACATTGCTCACAAGCCAATGCCACCCATCAACCTGCACACATGCCAGTACAGCACTTCTTGCCCTCCACACTTACGTAGTTAGCAGGAAAGACCCATCACTACATCTATCCAGGGCTTTCCTAGCAGCAGGCTTCCCTGAGAATTCCACAATGCCTTTCCCAGAGGATCGTCCTCTGTCATCCACAATAACCACAGCCCTTTCCACCTGGCCAAACACTGAGAAGGCTTCCTCCAGGAGCTCATTGGACACAAACTGAGGCAGGTTCCTGACTGTCAGCGATGCGCTGTGGCATGCAAAACGCACTCTTAGCTGCTTCCCACGTAGAGGCATGTTGTCTAGTTCCACCTTTGCAATCTCTGCCAGAGTGCGAGTTTCCTGAAGATAAAAAAAGTTATCATTAAAACTCTCAATGCAGTACAGAATCAGTCAGTCACAGTCACAACAGAGTAACAAGCCTATTTCCCCTGAACTCACAGAGAGGGATAAATAATCCTCCCACAGCATGGTAAAAAGTGTCCTAACAAACCATAGGTATTCTCTATTATCAATGACTCTAGCTGAATAGGCATGTACAGAGTTCGGGGCGGGGTGGGGGTGGGGG